GGCACCAGCAACAGGCCCTGCAAACTGTGGCTACAGCCACAAACCAAAGACAGTCTTCAAATGTATACAGTGTGGAAAGGACCACTGTTACACAGCACTGACTTTAAGCACATGCACATCCCTGGAGTGAGCACTGTTAGTACTGTCATCTACTGCTTACAGGCTAATGATAGCTGTTTCGTATCACCTGATATTAATAAAGTGATAATTTTACCAGAAATACATTCAAAGTGGAAACGACTATTTCATAAATATTTTAAAATGTACATCTGAAAATACTGGTTGTTTTAATGGGAAAATTTGATTTTTCTTTTTGACTACTAAAACTCTCATCTGCTTTTAAGCTATTAGTATGCCTTCATGACACTGAGTTTGCTGATGAGTTTATGGTGATTACATCAGACACAGTATTTGACAAATACAGAACAAAAGTAGTAGAAGGTCAACATTAGGGAGTAAATGTATCACCTTGGAGAAAGAAAACAACCTACTCCAGCTTCTGACGAAGAGCAGTTGTTCATGTGATGGATCATTGACTGCAAGTTTGGGAAGCAAAATATGGTAGTTGTAGCTAAATGCTTACTTTTTTAAGAAAAAGGAACTAAAATGACTTTTAGAAAAAAGGTATGTGTCGTGGATCTCACTTTTTAATTACATTATTCTGATATTTATTGACTTAAATAACAGTAAAATAGATTCACACAAAGCATACAGAGGAATTTTTGACTGAGTTATTGAAATCTCTTAATACTAGTTCAGAAAGAGGTAGGCAGCGCACAGGTGAACGTCAGCATTTCAGGAATTAATGGAAAGTAATACACTGATTGGGCTCTGAGCCCTATGGGTCATTCTGAATGGAAAGTAACAGCAGAGTTAGGACAGTGAGTCTTCTCCACAGTTCGGCTCTCTAGATGCTTCGGGGACTCCTGACTGTGGAGGATCATTGATCTCCTACTGCATCCACTTTCCTCCTGCTCTGGGAAGAGCCAGCCTCCTTACCTTATCCACCTCCAATGAAGTCATATACAGGAACTCTTGCTATTGGTTTACTTTAGTTTACTTCTTTCCTTTCTTTGATGGGGTTGCCTTGAAGTGTTAATTCCCTGTACTTCTCCATGTTTCTTTATTGTGGAGGACACAGACACTGTCACTGTCAGATTGGTTGTTGGGTTTGGCACAGAATGCGTACTGCATTGGCATGGGGATGATACGATATTGTACTCAGGAGATCATATACCATCATGATACAACATAAGTCTAGGTTCTGGTTCAGAAGAGCTACTTGTGAGATAGCCAGTAGAAACAGGTGCAGTGTAGGTAGCATGGACTGTGCTATGGAACCTTGCTTTTTTAAAGATATGTTGAAAAATGTGGTGTTTCATTGTGATAACCAGGTTGTATACAGAAAGGATGAAGTTGGGAAGTGTATGTGCAGAAGGATGAAATGCAATTTTGTAGATATGATATGGTTTTCTATCAAGTATACAATTTTGATCAGGTTACATAACTGATGGTCTTTGTAGGTACCAAGACATAAAATATATGGGTAAATTTTGGTTCTAACAAATCTGGCCAATAAACACATTCCTTATGAAGCTACCCAGACCTACAGGAAATTCTGAAGAGAAGAGAAGAGAGAGAGCATAATCATTCAAATGTAGAACTATATTAGGATATTTCTTGGGACTGTACAGATCAGCAGAGAGGTTCCCACACAAGCATCATGAGCATAATAAAAACATTAAAAACATTCATGATTGTTTGATGCACCACCTGTCTTACAGTTAGAATAATGGTCTGGGTAATCAATTTTTCAAAGTGTCTTATTATCTTAAAAGATTTCTGACATCATCCAATAGAGAACACAGTGAGGCCTGATGTCCTCTATGATTCTTTGGCCAGATACATGCTATTCAAGCAGAAACTTAAATGATTTATTCATTAAGCGCAAGAAAATAAACCAAAGGACCTTGAGCTCAACTATCAACTGGTATTTCTTTTGAATTAAATATTATGCTTAATTTTTTTTGGTTGTAAGCGGACTCAGCATAACTGTAAAAACAAATACTGTCACAATTTGTGAAATCTTAAGATGAAACTCGTATTGTTGCTTTGATTTGAAAAGGAGAATTGCTTTCTAAGAACTTCTAATATAATTTATTTTAACAAAAAACAAAAAAACAAACAAAAAACATAACTCAAACACAAACGATAAAGTCATGGACTTTATCTGGGTATCTGACATGGACTCTGGGTATCTACTAATATTTACATAAATTAATAGCAATGATCCTGAACCACCATTTTGTATAGTCAAATTCAGGTAAGAAAGAACATTTATTAATGCCCAGCTTTGGATCAATAAGGCACAAACCAATTTCTTGGTGGATGTACTGCACAGAAAGAGGGGTTGGTCTTTTCCCAACTTTAATTAGTTATTTAATGATTCAGTCTCTTCTGTACATTAAGTACAGGGTTTCAGAAACTTGCGCAAGGGAAGAATGTAAAAAATCATACAGAACATTTCTGCTTAGCTAAAAGAACTAATGAATCCAAAGCATATAAAAGTGATGCTTTTTGAATCATAGGGAAAGTTAAATGGCACACCCACTTGTTGGCTTAAAAAAAAAAAACAAAAGAAATCTCTTTAGTATGACTGGCCTAAGTGATTCATAAAATTGCTTCAGTTCAAAATTTTGCTCAGTGGCAAGAATTAGATGCATAGATCTACTAAATAAAATCCTTGACACAGCTATCCACCTTGCCACTGTGAAAAATAATGACTGACTACTTCTAACAGAGTTAGGTCAGTGCACTAGTAATATAAATAGAGCATATTTTAACAGCGTCAGCTGTTCTTTTCATCTAAAAAGGAAAAAGTCAGCAGAGGTGACTGGCAACTTGTCCTACAAATCATTTTTATTTCATAAATTGCTCATATGTCCCCTTAATCTGAGAACTTCCAAGTTCTTTATTTTTATTAATACAGTTTTCAAGATTATTTTTAATGCCACCTATATAATTACAGACCATGAGGATATTATTTGGAAAATAATCTTTCAGTATGGCTTTTAATCAATGGATCATTCTTCTCAACATACTTTTTACTTCTTTTCCTTTAACCTGAAGTCTTCAAAAGTTCAGAGAATGCTTGTTATGTAGGCAGTTTAAGCTGCTGCTTGTGACACCGGCATCCCATACCCTAGTACATATCAGCCAAGTGGGAGACCGAGATGGAGGTTCAGGCTCCTGGCATCAGCATGGACTAGTCTTGGTTACTGCAAGTCATTTGGGGTGTGAACCAGTGGATGGAAGATACCTCTCTCTCTCTCTGTCTTTCTCCCTCGTCTTCCCTCCCTTTCTCTTTCCCCTCTCTATCACTTTTTCAAATAATTGAATATCAAAGAAAAAAAACAAAAAAATACATTTTATATAAATACTAAGCTCAGATTTCAATTTTTTGTATCAAAACAAACTTGTATTTTAATTCCATTTTTCTATGAGCTCTTTGAAGTTCCTTTTTACTTCTGTTTTAAAATATCCTTATTGTTAACATTCTTTTTCTTTTTTTTTACCTTTTTTTTTTGGACAGGCAGAGTTAGACAGTGAGAGAGAGAGACAGAGAGAAAGGTCTTCCTTTTTCTGTTGGGTCACCCCCCAAGTGGCCGCTACGGCCGCCGCGTTGCAGCCGGCGCACTGTGCTGATCCGAAGCCAGGAGCCAGGTGCTTCTCCTGGTCTCCCACAGGGTGCAGGGCCCAAGGACCTGGGCCATCCTCCACTGCACTCCTGGATCAAAGCAGAGAGCTGGCGTGGAAGAGGGGCAACCGGGACAGAATCCGGCGCCCCGACCAGGACTAGAACCTGGGGTGCCGGCGCCGCAGGTGGAGGATTAGCCTAGTAAGCCGTGGTGCGGGCTACATTCCTTTTCAAAAAGACTTTCATACAAGGGGTATGTAGAAACCATATGTAGTTCAACACAAAATTAACACTTTTAAAACATTTAGGTGGAGAAAAAGAAGTAAGCTCATTGCAAATGTGTGTTTAGTGCATCTGTAGAGAACTGAGAAAGTTCAGGTAGAAATACTACCAGTGAAGGTTGGTGATGTGGCCTAGTGGGTAAAGCCACAGTCTGCAATGCTGGCATCCCACACAGGTGCCAGTACAAGTCCTGGTTGCTCCACTTTCCCATCCAGCAAGCGGTTAATATGCCTAGGAAAAGCAGCAGAATATGGCCTAAGTATTTGGGCCACTGCCACCCACATGGGAGACCCAGAAGAAACTCCTGGCTCCTGGCTTTAGCCTGGCCCAGCACTGGCCATTGTGGCCATCTGGGGAGTGAACCTGCAGATGGAAGAATCTCTCTCTCTCTCTCTTTTTCCCTCTTTCCCCTTCTTTATCTGTATCTCTGACTTTCCCAACCTATGTAACTCTTTCAAACAAATAAATAAATCTTAAAAAAAGTGCTACCAGTGACTCATATATGTATCTACAAGAACTAAGGCAAGCAAAATGAATGAAGGTCAAGGATATATTAGGCAAGTACATGAAAACGAAGGATAAAAAGGATGCTACACAAATGCTAAGCACAGAATTCTGTAGATACCCTCTTGGCCACTGAAAGTTAAAAAAATCATAATATATCCTTGAATAAAAGTTGTTTCTGGACAGGTTTAATAAAGATACCCAAAGTGTATATATACATTTTTTTATATTACTCTTGTGCTGGTATAGTCACCATTTATTATCATATAATCAAACTGTCACTACTATAATGTGCTTAAATAAACTACATGTTACCTGTAGTTTAAAACACATAACATAATATAATGTTGAAACATTGGCAAAATAAATATATATTGTTGAAATAATAAGGCATTTATACAAAGAAATTTTTGTATGTTTTTAGACAGGAGTATTTCCTAGCCTTATTGTATATTAAAATTTTTTTTCCTGATATACAAGGAGTTCTGTGAATTTTCCATTTCTGGTTTAACCATACCTTTTACATCTTCATCTTCAATTGTTGTATTTGAACTCTCAGTTGATTCCTGTTAAGAAGAAAACACATTTTTAAGCTGAATACATTGAATAGCATAATTTCTTCTTTAAAAAAATGGCTAGTGATATATACATACATGTATCATGCTAAACTCTTCAGCAGGCTGTGTGCAAATGCTGACATGCAAATGGACAAATACACAATGTGTTTTTTAGCAGAAATAAAATGTCAATGCTGCAAACATTTCACAGAGGGAGTACTCTGGTTGCCTAATCTCTGAAGCACTACAAATCCAGGTGATTTGTAGAAGCAGCAGAAGTAGGCAGTTATCTTCAGAACTGTGTAAGGATGTGTTGTGTTACAGTGCCCCACAGAGTGTGCTTTCTCTGTGTTTAAGAGAAATTGAATACAGTAGATGAATAAATTTGAACTTGGAACAATTTTTATTCCCAATAAATCAATAAGTAATAGTGCCTTATTTGTGTCAGGCAGTATTTCGAGTACAAAGTCAAAAGTCTATTTCTCTACCTTACTCCCATGTAGTTAGAAAAAACATTTCATTACATCCTTTGGTAAAGAGGTAGGGGTATTAATTTGAGCTATGCTGGTAGAATTTTTCAAGAAGAATTTTCATTGTTTTTTACCAGCACAATGGAATTATAATGAATAATACTTTCAAGGACAATGTGTTTTTTTCATTCTTTTCTAAATTAGAAACTAGCTGTCACTAATATAAAACTTGCTCTCATAATAAAAGATAAAACTATTTCTTTAAAAAACTACAAATTAAGTTGAAGATTTGTAAACACCCTGAAAGTACACTGTAACTGCCAGTAATAAGATAAATTTCTTAAAATGTTTTGATAGTTGTTTCCATTAATAACATACTAATAAAATATTTTCTAGGAAAGAAATTTTGCATTATTCAATAGGAAAAGATGTGATTTTCTACATGAAATAATTAGAGTTGAAATATTGGTAATAAACTTCCAATCAAGAGCTATATGCTCAGTGATAAAAAACAGGTTTTGGAAAGTGATGCATACACCAATCAGTGTCCTTTTAGAGAGTCAATACTTTAAAAATGTGATCAATGTATATAAATGTCATACACAACATATGAGCCAATGGGGTGAACTAACTAAAGATGTATCCAGAGTCTCCACACACACGAAACCAAAGAAAAGTCTTCATGCATTTCTCAGAGTGATGTGTTCAAATCTAAGTTCAAAATGAAGGTAAACCCATGCACTGCAAAAATAAACTAATTTGTGTAAGCAAGAAATATCATGCAGCAACTCTTACAAATGACACAGCTAGGACTATTGAAGTGTCCACTGTAGCTGTTATGCTCTGTCTTTTATTTGCTATTGCCATTTAAAATTTTTTTTCTCACAAATGATGATCCTAACTACCTGAAGTCTTTTAGGGACTTAGAACATTTTCACAGTCATAACTGTAAAATAAATCTCATATTAAAGAACACAAGCTCCATGTTCTTACTTTAATGATTTTAATATTGATCAACTAAATGTTAAACTAGAGAGGAAATGTGTTTTCCAAGATTTAAACATTATTAAATATAAGAAGTAAGACCCATGACTATAATTAATATTTTAGAAAAGTCTAATAATGTATTTCCCTCTACTTAGAGATGTAATATTGCATGAAAAGCAATAAACATTAAAAACATATCCTTTCATCCTATAGACATATATGCAAGTGCCGTTATTTAGTTAACATTCTGTGTAAATACTTTACAATGGTTAGGAAACAAGAGTCTGCTGATAACTAGTTAAATGTTTGTTACTGAAATGCATATAATTCAACAACAATAAACATATTTCACAAGAAGTGAAACCATTTGATTCTCCTCAAATTCATGCTAAACAATACCACCAACACCAACAACACCAACATCAACATCAACAGAAAATTAGAAAACAAAACAAAATGAAACAAAACAGCAGACACCACTATGACTACAGAATAGAATAAAACTCAAAAGCAACACTAAATTTAAACAAATATCAATGAACTCAAGTTGATAATTTTGAAGACAGTGGGATGATATAGCAAGAAATTCTAAACTTTCATGCAGAATACATCTACAGTAAAATGCACAAACAGGCATGGAAGAAAGAGAGACTAGATGGAATTGCTTAAGATACATAGTCATCTTGATATAAGGCATTATAGAAATATTTTTATTGACTAATGGTATGATTCATTTCTCTTTAAAGATGTCACTCATTTTTCTTTGAAAAAAAGTATGTGTATAGCTCTAGATAATTTAGGCCCCAAAGAAAAGCGAGGTACATAATGGCTGGAATTTTCTTTTCTATTTTTAGGTAATAAATTAATTTTGCTGTGAATGTTTGATGAGATGTGTAATCTTGTTAAAGCAAGATGATGTTGATTCTTTCTGAATACCTTGTTTCCATCAGGGTTGTGGATTACAGTAGTTTGGGGCTCCTGAGTGAGAACAAAATAGAGAAAGAAACAGTTTGCATTGGTAAGTACATTCTTACTAGTGTGAGGGACAGAGCAAGTGAGCCAATGGACAAAGTTAAATAGTGACAAGAGCAAAAGCAATGTTAACTGCTGTCAGAGGTTGCAGATGACAAAGATCTCTGATGAAAGATCTCCCTGGTGAGCCCATGAGATAGGACACCTCCCTGCCCAGAAGCAGCATGCAAAAGACCTTATTCCTGATCAGCATACAAACAAGGCTTTGAAGTTTGGAGACCTAAAGAGGCACTCACACTCACTGTTTCACCAAGTCCTAGGCCAAATACAGCTTTCCTTTCTTCCTTAACGAACAGCCTATTAATGTCTGTCCCACAGAAAATTGGCCAAGGACATAGGAGCCAGAATTCTTTTGAGATGATTTCAGATTCTTTGCAACAGCAATTTTCAGGTTTATTGCTTTAACAACTGATTGTGGTATCATATTACAACCAATACATGGATAAATACCCTTGGAAAACCTAGAAATATCGGAACACACTTTAAACAAAGACTATGCTAAAGAATACAGTTCAAAAGTCCATTAATAAATTCTAAGGAGCATTTAAAAGATGCATTGAAAGAGTTCTAGAACCAATCACATTGTCACTATAATTGCAGACATATTGCTGTTAACTCTGTGTTAATTCATGTCTAAAAATTTCTTTCATGGATTATATATGCAGAATATTTCACTATAAAGTCATGTTTTTCCCTGAAGAAATTATTACTTTTTCCTATTGTTTTCTATGAGAGAATCAGAAAATTATTCCCAAGTGGAAAATAACACTCAAGTAAATAACTGATGTAAAAAAGATTTAGTGTGCATACATCACTGAAATGCCTAGCACTTTCATTACATGACTTCCTGGAAACTGGGAATTACTGAAACCTACTTAGAGTTCTCCCCAGTCCTAAGCACTCTCCCACCACAGCAGTTCATAACGCAGACTTACAGAACACATCTCCTTCCCTTCCTCCTTTCCCAGCTGTTATCAGAATTCTTTTCTAATAGTAGATAAACTTGTGTTCTTGACGTGTCCTTCAGCTAAATGTTTTGAAATTGAGCCTTTTGGATACAGGCATTTGGCACAACTGTTAAGCCACTGATTGGGATGCTTGGATCCCAAAATCAGAGTGCCTGAATTAGAGTCTTGGCTTCACTCTGGATTTCAGGTGCTAATTCCTGCTAATGTGCACCCTGAAAGGCAGCAGGTGATGGCTCAAGTATTTGGATCCCTGCTACCTACCTGGGGACTAAGATTGAGTTCCCGGCTCCCAGCTTTGGACTGGCCCAGCCCTGGCTGTTGCTAGCATTTGGGAGGTGAACCAGTGGATGGGCAATCTCTCTTTGTCTTTCTGCTTTTCAAATAAAACAAACAAAATATTACAATTGAACCTTCCAGTTAGCCTAGATGAAATAATCCCTTCATGTTTTTATTCACTTAAAATAACAGTACAATGACAGTAAAAAATCAGAATCATGTCTTAAAATCATAACTAAAATATGAAATAGTTTGAGGAAAATATTATGGAACTCAGAGCACTGCATGCCAGTATTCAGATTGTGAATTTTAACATAGCACCATCTCAAAGTTTTAAACTGATTTAGTTATGAATTATGTAGATCTGCTTGAAACAGACAAAACTAGTTTCCATTGATAATTCATGTTCTAATGTTTGCGATTGATTCTTTTAGTTAAAGTGAAACAGTGAAGATTAAATTTAAAATACAAAAAATAAAAAGGTTTAAATTATGCAGTGCCTCTCTTTATCTCAGAAATTGGCATCTTACAAAGCCTGTTGTCTTTAAATAATGAAACGGGAACTCTGAATAAGGTCTACTTTTATATTGTCCAGCAATAATCCCGTTAGCTCTCCTTGATGTCAACGTTTGCGTCTGACAAGAAGAAACTATGGTTCACAAAATCTAGAGCTTTCATCATCAGAAGAGCTAAGAGCAACCAAAGCGCATTCTACTGTTTTTCTAAGGCAGCATGCAACAGTTTCTACTACGGAGACCACAGCTATCAGTACAATGTTCAACAATGAAAGGAGATAATCTCATGTTAGAAACACACTGCTTGACAACTGCCTTAACAAAAAGTAAAAACAAAACAAAAACAAAACAAAAAAAACCCACAACTTTTCCAATATCTTAGGAAGCAAAACAAAACAAAACAATACCCAAACCCCAACAGAGTAAAGTAATATATGTTTCTACAGAGTGAAAGCAAATGAGAGAAACAACAGAAAACAGTAAAGAACGTAAGAAGGGTTACAAAGAGTCCAGGTATACCAGCGCCGGGGTAGGAATATTTTCTTTGGGGCTGGTTACCACGTTGGCTTTGTTGTTTATCTGTGGGTATGCAGAAAATAGAAACAGAGATGCCTTAAACCCCTTGGTAGCCAATGTCTCTATATGCAGCATGTCTACATGGAGATATAGACATGAAAATAGAGAGATACCAAAGATGAACGCGAAAGACGTTGTAACGAATAACAGGAATGATGATCACTGCTAGTCTCCGATGGGCACACACAGGCTAGGACCATGTCTGAGATGGTGGAGTGAGAACACAGACTCCGCTGCTTTGTCTGGGCCACCTTAGCGTTCAGACAAAGGGCTGCTTCAACGGAGCTCAAATCAAGCTTGAGTATGAAATGAATGTAATCATGTTCATACTCTTCATGCTGGATTCTGTTTCCAAGATTCCAATTGTTCATTGCTATGAATATATTACTTTTTTTTTTTCCCATTTTACTCTTGAGCCCTGAAGTCACACATAAACCGTCTTTCTCTGGGGAGCCATCATTATTTTGTTCAGTAGGTATCCAATTTAAAAGAGCTTCTGACAAAATCAGGTGTTACAAAGTTTTTTAAGAAGACTAAGTCTGGGTCTCCTTTCAAAATATATCTTCAATTAGAAATGGAGAAATCAAACTCTTTACTGTGTATATGTTGAAATGCCAAAAGAAAACACTACTTATTTTTTTAATCAAAGTGTTATTGCTATCACTGAAGAATACAGCTGTTATATATCATTGCTTTTCTTTAACATAATTAGGTTTGACCTTAAGAAGACAGTTTTACCACTGTGGAAGCCACACTGTGAAAGCAACTCAGAGGGTATGACCTGTAATGGCCCACAGAGAAGACTCTTTATAGACAAGTGGCAATTTGAAACTGCAATTGAGTTTGGGTACTAAAGAGCCAAACACTAAAAAGTGATTATCAACATTCTTTTCAATTCATGCATGACAATTTACATTGTGGTTATCAAACAGAAATATAAATTAACATTCATTTTCTTATGCTATATAATCTAGGTATTTTCTTCTCATATTATCTTTTTAAAGAAATACTCCCTTATAGTTTAATCTAAATGTACTTAAGGACTTAAAGAGAAACATACAGTATAAAATAAATGAATGCCAACTAAGTATTTACAACTGATTACAATTGTTTGGGCTTTCTGAAAAATCTATACTTTATACCTATAGATTGTATCAAAACTAGCATTAAGAAGAAGACAGAAGGTAACAGTGATTAGTTTAGGTATATGATATTCTGCTTTTCTGTCCACTCATATTTGTGTATTTGTTAGTTCCTGTTTTATTGAAATAAGCCATATTATTGTGCTCTGTAACATGCTTAAAGAGAACACTTTTAAACTTTTACTCAAAAACTTTTAAAATGGTAAGCAATCTATTTATGTTTTGTAAATAGTATAAAATTTTTTCAAAAGTAAAATACACAGAATTTAACAAAATTTGTGAAAGAGCCAAAAAACATGAGATAATGGATTCTATTAAACAGGAATCAAAATTTAGTGTTTATGTTAGTACAAGATACATGAGAAAATAGGAGGTTGCACACACAAATAATTTCCTGTGGTTGGAAGAGTGCTTGGCAAAATATAGCTGGTTTCCTGCCAGATGATCAGAGGCACTTAGGACTAAAGTATCAAATGCATTTTATTTGCTATATTTAATTTACATCAATGGATGCAAATGAAAAGAAATGTATCCGAAATATTTTCATTTCTGTTTTCAGGTAAGATACTTAATTTTTTTCTAGGATGTATTTGCCAAGAACTGCTTTGTTTTGGTGAAGATGCTCTCCATGCACACCTATGCACACAATCATATCTGCACAAATGCACGCCTGCTCCCCCCTGCACACACACTCCAGCACACATTCATCCACAGATACACAGCATACACTATCATCTACTCTTTCAAATGAAGCCCGTTCTATCTGGATAAGCCATCTTTAATCATCAGGTATTGGAAACAGGTGTTAAACAATACGCACCTCAACCACCACTTTCAATCATGTATAAAAGTGCAATTAAAACTTTTTTGTTAATATATGGATTAGCTTAATGATATTTGTTCTACTATGGAAATGCTGGAGGCATTTGTCATATTAACTAATTGAAAAATAGAATTTCCAAGAATTTCCTTTCAAAGAGTCAAATATCAACATGGGCTCAACCATAGCTGTCTTTTTAATATATGAGAACTTTGCCACTCTTGCCTGTGAACGTAGTTTACTTTATATTATGAAAGCAGAGCATTTTCTTTTTCAAAGAAAATGAATTGAATCACTTAAGTGATGCACAGAACTACTGTTATGAGAGATGGACAAAATATTCCTATTTCTCAGGCGTTGAATTTCTTAAGTGTTGTAGTTAATAAATATTTCCTTTAAAAGTCCTTAACTAGGATGACCTTTTTTTTTGTAAGGTCACTTTCCTAACACTCATAAACTCTATGGTGAATGGATGAAACTGTGCCTAAGAATTACTCCTGTTTCAACAACCATGCTCATCATGTTATAAATAATCATACTTTTTTACTTATCAATAAATGAACATTATTTATGGCATAGTCTCCATATTTATTCATGGCATGGTCTATTTTTAAAGATGAAATTGGATTTTGTCCTTGTAAAAGATTGAACTCCTTAACAGCATATTGATGGGGTTTAACTTTTACTTATTTTAAAAAAAATCTATTTCAGAGAACATACAATGTGAAAGTGGGGCATCATGTTTTGATATTTGGGTAACAATGACCTGTAATGGTCCCATGCTTTTTGTACGCACACTAACTTAGGTATGTAAGACTGCTGTAGTCCTAAGTGTGAATTTTTACAGGAGGAGAAATCTGGCAGATAGAGATCCTCACCATCATCTGAACACTCGAACTGGACTTCCTTTTCTGAATTGACCAGTCAAAGAGAAAGGAAAAGAAAAAAAATATGACCGGTTGAATTTAAAGTATCAAAGCATGGAGTACAGAGTAATTTTGTCTTTAAAGAGGAGCTACAAGTAGACAAGAAAAAAAAAAAGGGCTAGAAATGTTCCTTTCTACATGAGGACAGTAGTGAAAATAAATATTACAACAGGACCTATGAACTCTCTGTCACTCAGTGGTACAGAAAAACCCAAAGAAAACATTTTGGAAAATTTAAAATACTACATTTCCACCAACATAACATTGGGAAAAAGGTAGGTATCAGCTGTCATCATTGAAATATAAGTTGAATTAATCTAAGTAGAAGGAAGATACAATTACAGGTTGAGGAGAGCAATTGGCAACCGGAAATGCCATCCTAATACGAATCACAAGTGCATGGTCATGGTAGCTGTGGAATTTCTCAGATTGCACAGACAGGTGGTGAAAAAATGACTGAGAATGAACATAAGAGACAAATGATTTTCCCATGTTATATTTTCAATATGAACTGACCATGTGACTTTGGGTCAAGTTCAAATGTTAGAATATTGATTAATTCACAAGAATGTTGAGGTATTGATGAGGAATGTATGCCTCTGCCATTGGAAGAGAAAAAGAAATATTAAGGAAATAAAATGTATGGATGGTACTCTGAAAGATAACAGACATCATTATGCAAATATAAGGTTACATTTCAACAAAAGAAAATTTCCTTGAAACAAAATACAGTCAGTTGAAAATAAGTCACATTATTTTGCTAAGAAATCTAAGACAGTCAAAACACCCTACTGTTATCTTTCTCAGAAAATTTTTCTAATATTTGCTCACAATATTCACCTTAAGAATGTCTCAAAACCTTAGGGATAGCAGCATGAGAACAATTAAGACCTTTAAGAAAATTACCCAAGCAGAGAAATTTAGTCATTTGACATTCAATTTTTCAGACCTAATGTGAGTTTTTTTTTTTTTCAGCTATATACTCCATCAAGCTTGAATACACATAATTATTTGGAAAAGCAGTTGGTTTTCACAGATTTGTCAGGTCGCCATGGTAGTCTGGGACTGTAGGAAAGCAGACAGGATTTAGACATTCAGTTTCTACAGGAACTCTATAGAGGGACATTATTTTTTCACGATTATTTAATAGATGATCAAATAGAAAACATACATCTATTCTTAGTACAAATGTTTGTCATCTTTGTGCATTAATTCATATTTCAAACTACATCTTTTATTAGGAAGTATAAACAAATATAAGCTGTAAGACTTAGGACTTCTATTTGACATTTTAAAATTATCCAGTATTTGAAAGTAAAGATCATCTGAGGAACACCTGTTTAACTTACCTTTACTCCATCTGGTTTCTTCAACAAACTCTTGGCTGCTGCAAAATGAGAATAAAATGAGTTTAGTGAGTTATCCATAGAAACCCATAGCCAGGCAGTGAAACAGGTCATTATCTTTGTCTACGACCTTTGCTGAGTTATGGCCAACATATGCCAAGTTACCAAGGTCACACTGATGAGCGCGAGCTTACAGGACATTGAAATACAGTATCACTTTTCTTGATTTTGCCACAACAAATTCTGAGTAGTTCATTGCATATAATTGAACACTGCCCGTTTGTGTTATTGGACATTATTTCACTGTTGGTTGCGAAAAGGATACTGGAACTTTAACTGGACTATCCTTTTGTAATCCAGAAAGTTGGTTTCAGTCTTTCAACATCAGCTGACAGATTGTATTACATGTTCATTCACACCACAGGGATCGTGGCCATGTCAGTTCTTCCATTTAGACTCTCTTTCTAGAGGCTGAAAACTCACTTGTAAAAATTAGCTTTTTTATATTTCTGAAATCAAATCATCTCAGTTTTATAAAATACTAATAATTATATTTAAAATAAAATTGTGTATTATTGACCTAGATCAAAATTTTAAAATGCTTAGCAGATAATCATTCAAAAAATGGTATTATATACTCTTTTCTACTTCAAAACCAGATTTAAAAGGCTATACAAACAAAAACTTTACAATAAAAATTAAAAATCATAAAATTTGAGGCACAATATAAAACTAAATGAAATCCCCAACTAAAATAGAGAAATTATAAAACATATCATTTTATATAAAACTTCATTTTTCTTGTTGTGGGGAGCTTTTATCATTCCTTCTATTACTGAATTCCTTGAGTATGTTTAAAAGTGAAGTCATCCTGGGGCTGGCACTGTGGTATAGCAGGTTAGGCAGCCTGAAGTGCTGGCAGCCCATATGGGTGCTGGCTCTAGTCCTGGCTGCTCCACTTCTGATCCAGTTTCCTGCTAATACACCTGGGAAAACAGCAAGGAATGGCCCAAGTGCTTGGGCCCCCACATCATGTGGGAGACCCAGAAGAAGCTCCTGGCTCCTGGCTTTGGCGTGGCCCAGCTCCAGCTTTTGTGGCCATTTGGGAAATGACTCAGAGGATGGAAGACCTCTTTCTCTGTCTCTCCCTTTCTCTCTGTAACTCTGCCTTTCAAATAAATTAAAAAAAGTCATTCTTTAAAAAAATTCTTATAAATAGATACACACACAGTAAAGAGATAATTGTTGATGAAAATTAGAACACTCATGAAAATGCAGGACAAAGTAAATATTTATGCTCCCATTTAATATTAGCTATATATAATTATTTAAGTATCCAAAGTAGAATTTGGCATTTGAAGTGGCAATACCTGGCTACAACAGAACTGCATGAACATGTAATTTCCTGACATTCATTTGATTTGGGATATTATTTTGATATCACTTTGGTATGATTTTAAATTTATTTAAGACACGAAAATGTTAATTTTATATGGCCATTAGTATCAAAGCTATTAATTCATCATTAATTGAGATTGTAAAAAATAGTAGCCTTAACTATAATACTGTTTGCCTGGAGCTAAAAAGCAATATTAAGTAAATATTATGGCAGTTAATAGATTAGAAAGCAAACTCAGAATAACTGAATTGCAACAGCAAGCAAAGAGAAGACAATGATTCAGGGTAAGCAGGGATTCGGCCTGGAAGATGCAGAAATGTCCCTTTGATAACTATTCACCTTACCTCACAAGAAATACATTCCACATACAGGGAGAAAAGAAAAAATAAAAACAACTTTATAACCATATACTTATGGACAAATTACGTTAAAGAGCACGTTTGGCAATGAAATAGAATGAACAAAGTATTCAAAATCAAAATTCATTATTATGTACAAGATGTTGTAAACTGGGACTTATGCTATTCAGTTGATTTTGAGTTGATGGATAAATTTGCTTTTCATGCTAAGACATTCAAAAATGATATAAAAATCCACATATTAGTCATGAGTTTTTAGTATATAGGATGATGAAGAGAGAAATGTGACATAAAAAAAAGCTTTTATACATTAGGACATACATTAATAAAGGCCCAATTTATTCTTAAGAGTGCATTTAACATTTTAACAAAATATGCAATTTTAATTCTGCAGATTTTTTCCAAGTTAATTTGCCATTAATAATATATATTATATAAAGCATCATATCTTTTAATGATTTGCTAATTACTGGGCCACAGTGAAATAATAACTTATTTGAATACAGCATATATTAGTTAATGTTTAATGAGATGGCATTGAACTCACCCATATAAATGTCAACTATGTTAAGTGTTCATAAAACAGGTAACTTGACAAAGGCAGCAACAAAGTTTTACTACACCAAACAAAGTGGACAAAATACATACAACTGACCAAGACAGTCCCTCAATTTGTAGCATTACTCATTGTACTATTATTGTTTAACAGCCTTTGGGGAGGCTTCCTGCAGTTTCACATTATCTATAAGTAAATGCAAAGAGGGGTGAAGGGATAAAGATGACCATTTAATATAGTTATAAATAATAACTGGAAATTGGCTGAAGGACATCTAACAGTGATAAGATGGCTCATTACCTGATATCACAATAGCATTCAGGCTAAGTATGTAGTAACATAAAGAATTGAAGAAATAGTTGGATAATTTGATGCTACTGATCATTGTTGCATATATAGTATGTAAATCAAAGTAGTAGTGTCTTTGACATTAACTTTTAACAACTGTTTCAACTGTAAATGTGCAAACAGTTAAGTTTATCAAGCACAGCTTAACTGCTCCTTTAGTCCCTCCCCATACATATGACTCATTACATTTGCTAAAGTTTTATTTTTGGATATCTAGTCCTTTAAGGTATCTATCAAAAAAGGAGGCTCCAAAATGCAAATAATTTCTAGAAGTCATATACATTTTATCTTCATTTTAGAAGCATTCAGTTTCTTTTAGCCTACTAATTAACAAACTTATTTTTCCCATGGAATCATTTTGAGGTTGTGATATGACTGTGTAGAAGGTTCTATTTAAGTTCTAGAATTAGGTAACTTTGAGAGTAGTAATCATTTGTATAGCATTCCAAGATACTATGGCACTTTTAAAAGAATTTAGGCCTAAGAGAGTTGAGTTTCTGAATAATGGTCTTCTTTTAAAAATCTTGCTTTTTGGGATTCCCTATAAGAATGAGACAAAAAAGACTTATTCATAGTTTTATTTTGTGAAATATCTACTAATAAATCCTGGGTTTGAAATGCCAAATTTAAAAATCAGGGAGTACATATTTCTGTAGCTGTATACTTGAGAGATGGGATTCCAGGCTTGCACCAGCACTTCCCAATGCCTGGAGTTGCCTGGGGAGCTCTTGAGAGGGGAGCAATCATGTGAGGCTCTGTGGCAGACAGCACTGGACAGGTTCCTAAAGGCAGCCACAGGTGTGGAAGGAATCCAGGCCACACATTTGCCATTCTTGAACAGTTAGCTTTTTCCAACTATTATATTGCTTTTAATTCCAAAAGGATTACAAAACAGGAGAGTAGAGGGCAAGGAGCAGAGTTTTTAGCACATGTACCTGAAAAATTCCTTGTAGCCAGCATGGTTGTCAAGATGGCACCCTGTCAAAGAAATAAGAGCACAAGATCAGTGTTCTCTCTGCAAATCTTTGACCGAAAAACATAAAGTCTTTGATAACAAAGCTTCCCCTGGCTTTATTTTCAGTTGGGGGATTTTTGTTTGTTTGTTTTTGGTACTGGTTTCCTGAGAGTCCCAGGCCCATTTCGCTCATGATGCCGGGACTGCCCTAACGTGTGGGACAGATTCAGATTATCAGACTGAACAGCTGTTTTCCACTGAAGGGCAGAACCACAGCACATGTTGCCACCAGGAATCTAGCTTTTTTTTTTTTTTTTTTTTTTTGCTTTCAAACTTTTATTTAATGAATATAAATTTCCAAAGTACAGCTTATGGATTACGACGGCTTCCCCCCCCATAACGTCCCTCCCACCCGCAACCCTCCCCTTTCCCACTCCCTCTCCCCTTCCATTCACATCAAGATTCATTTTCGTTTCTCTTTATATACAGAAGATCAGTTTAGCATACATTAAGTAAGGAATCTAGCTTTTCATCACAGATTTGATTCTGTGTATGCTCCATTTTCCCAAGATCAAGAGAAAGAATAGAAGAGTATTGAGGCCTATACATTTAAAAGTCTTTATTACAAGTTATTTTCCTTATATTGTATTTTACTGATCACTCTGTCAAATTTTTCACCTTACAAAAAATGTAAAATTTCTTACCTTTAGTTTTCTTCTAGCATTGAATTTCTTCAAGCAGTCTACAGTCTCCTGTCTGTGCATCATGGAAGCCACAGTAGCACGGTGCTGGAAAAAGAGGAGGAAAAGTGACTTAAAATGTATTAGGCATAATAGGAGTCTCAACTTCATCCAGTCTTTGTTACTGCTGCCTGTACCCAAATGATGAAGTTGTATGTATACAATTGCCAAAGTTACCTAAAACAGCGGACTTTGTCAAGACTAAGATGTAGCATTTATGCACAGAAAGTATAGAAATGAATATCAATATATTATTTCTCAAATTATCTTTATTTCAATTTCTAATGGATTACCCTTTGCTTACCCAGCACCATTTTCATGCCTTAACATTTGATGTCTGTCTCTAGAAATTTACTGAAATCTCTATAGATTTCCCTTCAAAAGTCAGATTATTTTTCTTAGTATTTATAAATTACACCTAGACTACTATAACTACTAAAACTCTACTCTTGCCTTCCAAACCTTATACCTGTTTCTAAAGCTGCTTAATGATAAATAGTTGAACTCTTCTCTCATAATTTTCTTCTGGGCTACATTTAATCTTGGTACTATTTTCTTATCTCAGCTTCATGAGGATTTTCAATAATTGATTTTGGGAGAAAACTCATTCCTTGTCTTATTGTAGGCAAGATTTATTTGGTCATCTATGCAAATCAGACTTTTACTCCAAACGCCATTTTTCACCACTATAAAATTCATTTCTCTAAATATGCTGATTCAAAAATGTATTAATTCCAAGTTTCATCTTTTTTCTGCAAACCTATTTTAAACCCACAAAAACATTAAAGAAGGTTAAATTTTCATTTCAGCTCTTGAGGTTTTTGGAGAACTGCTACTTACACTGATCCATGGATGTTTCAGTGCCTCCGAGGCTGTAATGCGTTTGGCAGGGTTGATAGTAAGCATTTTATTGATGAGATCTTTGGCTTCAGGGGTTACTGTGTCCCATTCTGGTGATGGAAACTTCAAAAATATAAATTTATAAACAGTCTCAAAAATAGACTCAGTCCAAGAGAGAAGGATCAGACATATGAATCATTTCCTTAAGTGGTGAATTTCTTTATAAATTTACAGTTGATATGAATTAAATTATATCTAAAAATCAATAAATTAATCCAAATGTATCTCCCCATGTATAAAAATACATATGTAAAGAGTAACTGATGGCCAGTGCTGCGGCTCACTAGGCTAATCCTCCGCCTTGCGCTGCCGGCACACTGGGTTCTAGTCCCGGTCGGAGCGCCGGATTCTGTCCCGGTTGCCCTTCTTCCAGGCCAGCTCTCTGCTGTGGCCAGGGAGTGCAGTGGAGGACGGCCCAAGTGCTTGGGCCCTGCACCCCATGGGAAACCAGGAGAAGCACCTGGCTCCTGCCTTCGGACCAGTGCAGTGTGCTGGCCGCAGCGTGCCAGCCGTGGCGGACATTGGAGGGTGAACCAACGGCAAAAGGAAGACCTTTCTCTCTGTCTCTCTCTCTCACTATCCACTCAGCCTGTCAAAAAAAAAAAAAAAAAAAAGAGTAACGGATAAGTTATCAACATATGTTCTGAATATCTTATTGTATACTGAATATGAAGGGGCTTAAAAGAGTCATGGAAAGTGTAATTAAAAGCTAAGTATTTTGGCATAAAAAATTTTGAAATCCATGCATAGATTTTTCACAATACACATTTTACATTAACCTTCTCATGACCCTTTGTATAGTAAGAACATTTAAAAATTTTTAACAATAAATTCAGAATTATCTATTTCTCTCAAAATAGCTTTACTTTGATCTGAAAATGAAATTTTATTAAATCTTTCCTATAATTATTTGCAGAACTAAATAAAAGCTGAAAGTCTTTTACATGCATCAATGTCATCATACCATTATGCCAAAGTGAAAAATGAACTTCAAAATCATGAGGAGTAATAGTAGAAGATAATAAATAGCTTCAGTTGCCGTGAACTGATCAATTATGAGTGGAATGCTGCTGTGAGAAGAAATCTGAAACTACAAGATCTTCAGCAGGATTTCATTTTCACACTCCAAAGAGGCTAATCTAATTATAAATTTCACTGAAGTACATGAAAGGAACTAAATCTCCCACTTCCATTAGTAATCCATTTTTACATTAATAACTATATAATGAAGTTACTTATTCTAACTTTATTTTTGTTGTTAAGAAAATTATTTAACCTTACTTTCTTCTTTTTATTTTATTTATTTATTTATTGACAGGCAGAGTGGACAGTGAGAGAGAGAGAGAGAGAGAGAGAGAGAAAGGTCTTCCTTTTTGCAGTTGGGTCACCCTCCAATGGCCGCTGCGACTGGCGCACTGCGGCCAGCGCACCGCGCTGATCTGATGGCAGGAACCAGGTACTTATCCTGGTCTCCCATGGGGTGCAGGGCCCAAGTACCCGGGCCACCCTCCACTGCACTCCCGGGCCATAGCAGAGAGCTGGACTGGAAGAGGGGCAACTGGGACAGAATCCGCCGCTCCGACCGGGACTAGAACTCGGTGTGCCGGCGCCGCAAGGCAGAGGATTAGCCTAGTGAGCCACGGCGTTGACCATCAGTTAACTTTATACTCATAAGATTAACCCTATACCAAATAAAGAGTTCAACAAATAGTATGAAAAAAAAAAAACCACACACACTGTTCCTCAACAGTAGAGACAAGGGCTGTTAAAAATCATTGCATCTCAAAGTGTCAATTTCATTTCTATAGATTACCTTTTAGGTATTCTATTATTACCACAAATCAGGGAGAACATATAGTATCTGTCTTTTTTAACCTTACTTTCATATACTTAGTATATTTGATATAGAAATACTATTCTTCATAGATTAAGAGAAATTCCTATTACATTATTTACTAAATGACAGAGTATCAGGTTATTTTCCCAATGCACAAGTACAATTTTGAAAAACAAAGGTATTGTAACTATATCATAGAATTAAATTAGTCCACTTTCATTAGTTATAAAATGGACAGCTTGTACTCCACTGTCAAAATGAACCTTTTAATATCTATAATTTTTTTGCCAGTTTAACAATTGTCATTTCTTAAATCTAGAAGTTTACCTTGGGGAGTTGCAAAAACTTGCAAACTATTAGGAATTATTGAAGAAATACTTGAGTTGATACTTAATGTTCTGTATTTTAACTATTTATATGTATTCTGACAGCAAATGTGGGGCTAGTTCAGCCTGAAGAAAAGTAAATCCTGTTATTTTTCTAATTCTCACAAAGGCACTGTAGAGAGGAGTCCAATTGTAATCTATAAAGTGGTAAAGGTGTGAACTGTGGCTGTGTAAGTAAAAATTTGGTTCAAGTATTAATCTGGCTAGGATGAAATGCTCAAAATTCAAAGAATATACATTTACACCCTTGGCCACTGACATACACATCCTTCTAAATAGAACACTTTAACAAAACTCCATTGATGAGCACAGGAAAGCTGATATGATACAGCCTTCTTATATTTACTCCTCTCACTTCCACATTGAACTTTTAACTTGTGCACAGAAAGTAGATTCAATACTGCTCCTCTGTTGCCCTATTTAATAATACATGGTAACCATCTTCAGATGCTACCCTTGGATTTCCAGAGGGCTATGTAAGGTGAAACTAGAGGAAGTGACAAATAATTGATTAACATATTTATTAATGGAGAGCAGTTTATATCAATGAACACAAAAGTAATCTATAAAAAGGTAGACAATCCTTCCTCTTCTGATTTTGAACTCAATCCATGAATGTTTCTACATATGTATGTATCTCTGCTTTCAAATATTTTAATTATAACTTAAATGTTTTAGAATTGTGACTTTCATGTACTTTTCAATTATGAAACAGATTCTTCAACTGAAAGCTTGCGCAGAAGCCAATTATGTAAACAAGATAAAAATATCAAATCTAATGTATGTAGTAAGCAGAATGCTGTTCTACTTGATGCAAGGACAACATGCAAAGTACTGTTGGTATCCAACTTAAAATTATGTGATACACAATTGGGAATATAATTCTACCATGGCAACAATAATTTCTAAAGCAGAAATTTTAGAATTTTTGTATTTTAAGAAATGTGCTGAGATCTGGAAGTTGTGATGGGCACAGTCCTTCCTCAAGTTCAAACTGCATTCCTTTCAATCTTAGGAAATAGTGACCTAAAAGGAAATACAAAACAAAAACATATACTGCACTTTTTGATCTTTATCTTCCTTCTCTTAAGTGACTTGGAAATAAGAGAAATTACTCAAAATTACGATTAAAAGAACAATGAGAAGATCTGGCCAATCTGGCCAATGAATAAGAAACAAACCCTCATCTAAACTTATATGAATACTTGTTACATACATCATAAGCTCCAGCCTTGATTTGCTGATAGAGTCTGTGCTGGTCTTCATCCCAGAAGGGTGGATATCCTACCAGTAGAATGTAGAGAATGACACCTGGAGGAAATGAGCATGTTAGCAAAATGCAAGTCACACAGAAGCAATAAATGAGATGTGGCTGATCCACTGTGATTTTCAGCCACACTCTGAAATAGAGAAAATGGCACAGCTGGAAAACCTCAGAGATGTGCTGTGGTCTCCTATGAGGCACTCTCTGGAGGGTGAATGCTTCTCCTATGGTCAACCCCCATGGCAATGTTCAAGCCCAATACCTGCATCAAAGACTCTTAAACAGGGCAGGGCAACATCTAAAGATGAAACCTGTCTGTCATTTCGGGTGGTAACTTTTCCTGTGTATGGTCTCCTTATCTAGAAATGGGCTGTGATTTTAGTCACTGTGTAGGTTGAAAGTTCAAAAATTAACATGGTATTTTTTAAAAAGTATTTATTTAATTGAGAAGGCTGGGAACTCAATCTGGTCTACCACATGGGTGGCAGGGACCCAAATATCTGAGCCTCCAAAGGCAAGAGGCTGGAACTAGAAGTGAAATAGCTGGGACTTGAATTAGGTTGCCTGGTATGGGATGCAGACACCTCAAGCAACACTTTAATTGTATTACTGTATTTATTTCCTGATAGTCATTTGCCAGTAATTAGGACATTTTGTTGAGAGATGGTGTCTTGCTTATAAATTCATGCTCTATTTAGTTAGAGTCTAAATAGTGTGGATAACACATGAGACAAAATTTTTTTCTCTTCAGTGATTTTCAGCCTTCAAAAATAGAAATTTTCAATTAAACACCTAAACCATCAGCACCACAGAAAAGCATATATTGTAGGGAGAGGAAGAAGGAGAAATCATACATATGACTTAAAGAAGCACACAGCTATAATACAATTTGGTATCTTTTCCATAATCATGTAATGCCTCACAAATTAATCTAATCAATGTGCAGTTTAACTTTTTTAATTATTTATTTTATTTATTTGAAAGACAGAGTTACACAGAGATAGAGACAGATGGAGAGATAGAGACAGAGGGAGAGACTGATGGAGAGACAGAGACAGAGACAGAGGGAGAGGGAGAGAGACCTTTGCAAATGGCTGCAAAGGTCGGAGTTGAGCTGATTTGAAGCCAGGAGCAGGAGTTTCCTGTGGGTCTCCCACATGGGTGCAGGAGCCCAAGGACTTGGGCCATCCTCTGCTGCTTTCCTAGGTACATAAGCAGTGAGCTGGATCAGAAATAGAGCAGCCATGACATGAACTGGCACCCATATGTGATGCCAGCTCCTCAGGTGGGGCCTTTAACCCACTGCACCACAGCACCAGCACCCAATTTAATTTTTAAAATAAAAAAAAGTGTTCATAAATGTTCAACTTTCCTTGAAATCATATAGGCAATCTATGTTTCTTGGGGCTATTTTGACAATAAGCACCTTTAGATCATCAAATGTCCCTCTCACTACTTTTCAAATATTTTATTGCCCTGTTTGAAGTCTTTAGGTTCTTTTCTACCTCATTATTCTGGAGGAAACTCTGGCATTCCTCTGACCTCTCCTGCTTGCTTTTCTCTTGCTGTTTCCTTAAGTCTGAGGAACCTGAGGGAGAAAGTAAGGCAGGGACACTGCCTGTATGCCATGATACTTCTTTTTTCCCCTTTTATGAGGTGATCTCTTGGTTTCTGTATCTCTTCTTCATTGAGGGAATTTATTCTTGCTCCTGTCCGTTAGTCTGGGACATTTACAAATAGACATTATTACAACTAAAATGGCTTTACAGCAATGGTTTAACAGCCTTAGACTTTCATAGCCTGTTGCAGGAAGATATAGTTCAGAGCATATTTTATTTATTTAGTTTTAAAATTCTTTTTTTTTTTCATTTTTGATTCTCTTAATATACAGAAGATCAGTTTAGTATACATTAAGCAAAGATTTCAACAGTTTGCTCCCACACAGAAACATAAAGTGAAAAATAATAGATGATTTTTTAAATGATGATGAAATCAGATCAGACTTATTGTCATGTTTAATCCCAGTGAGAGTCAAGTTGGGAATTGATAATTTCTTTCTTTTTTTTTTCATACAGAAGATCAGTTTAGTATACATTAAGTAAAGATTTCAACAGTTTGCACCCCCATAGAAACACAAAGTGAAATATACTATTTGAGTACTAGTTATAGCATTAAATCTCAATGTACAGCACACTAAGGACAAAGATCCTACATGAGGAGTAAGTGCACAGTGACTCCTGTTGTTGACTTAACAAATTGACACTCTTGTTTATGGCATCAGTAATCACCCTAGGCTCTTGTCATGAGCTGCTAAGGCTATGGAAGCCCCCTGAGTTCACTGACTCTGATCATATTTAGACAAGGCCATGGTCAAAATGGAAGTTCTCTCCTACCTTCAGAGAAAGGTACCTCCTTCTTTGATGACCCATTCTTTCCACTGGGATCTCACTCGTGGAGATCTTTCATTTAGGTTTTTTTTTCCCCCCAGAGTGTCTTGGCTTTCCATGCCTGAAATACTCTCATGGGCATTTCAGCCGGATCCGCATGCCTTAAGGGCTGATTATGAGGCCAGAGTGCTGTTAGGACATTTGCCATTCTATGGGTCTGCTGTGTATCTCACTTCCCATGTTGGATCATTCTCTCCCTTTTTTATTCTATCAGCTAATATTTGCAGACACTATTCTTGTTTATGTGATCCCTTTGGTTCTTAGTCCTATCATTACGATCAATTGTGAACAGAAATTGATCACTGGGACTAGTGAGATGGCATTGGTACATGCCACCTCGATGGGATTGAATTCATTTATTTATGAGGGATAGAGAGATAAAGGATCTCCCATATCCTCTGGTTCATTTACCAAATGCCTGCTCTAGCTATAGCTTGGCAGGCTGGAAGCCAGGAACTGGGAACTCAGTACAGAATTCCCATGTGCATGGCAGGAAGTCAACTGTTTGAACCATCATAGCTGCCTCCCAGGATCTGTATTAGCATTAAGCAGGAGTCAGGAGCCAGAACCAGGGATCAAACCCAAGTACTCTGATATGGGATGTGGGTGTCTTACCACTAGGCCAATGACTAATCCCTCCAAAATTTGCATTATTTTTAAATTCATGTGAATAACTACCAGAGTAAAACTTTAAATAACATTTTTAAATTTAAAAAATCTCACAAGGCTTTTACATCAAGACTGAAAGTTATTTCATCACAATGGAGTTAAAGAAAATACCATGATGAAAATCACAATACACAAAGGATCTTCAAAAAATTTCATTGAAAGTGTGCATTATAAAAAAAAAAAAACTATGCATGGGTTTCCAAAATTTTTGCACCAAAATATTCTTATCTTTTAATTCTATTTTTCCACAAAGTTTGTGAAGTAATCTCATGCTCGTATCTCATATTCACCACAAAAATTAATTTTTCCAACTTTAGCTTCATCACAGATAATACATGTTCTTTTAATTTATTTTTATATAATTTTCATTATCTGATGTAAAAATGCATTTAATGATAATGAAGATGATTATGATGAATATTTGTGTTTGTGCTCCCTGGACACAGGTAGAAATGAAGATATACTTAAGTAGTTTTAGCCTAGCTATGGCTAAAGAGATGAAGAAAAAACTCACTTTGTAATGACAATAGTCTCCACTGAATCTAGGCATTTTCCTAATCAACACCTGGAATTAGGCTGCTACAACATTATCAGGTTGACTCACAGTTGACACAGCATTCTGAATGTTGACCCCAGAAATGGTGCTTCTCTGGGAAGGGTAAGCTAATGGAAGATGCATTCCCTAAGAATAGCAGCCAATACTTACCTAGATGCCTAGAATTTATTTATCTGATTGATGAATTTCAACCAAAATGCACTTTAAATAAGATAACAGCATAAGTAGAGGCACTGTTTAGTAGACTGATGCAAGATTTTCAATGCCTACATAAACATTGTTTTGCAAGCTTACTTTTACTTGCTCATTAGTCTAGTGTCTAAGATTTTTTTAAAAAAAGATTTATTCATTTTTTATTTGGAAGGCAGAGTCAGAGAGAGAGAGAGATACACACACAGAGACAGAGATATTTGATCTACTGGTTTACTCTCTAAAAGGTCACAACAGCCAGGTCTGGGTCAAGTTGAAGCCAGGAACCAGGAACTCCAACCTGGTCTCTGATGTGGGTAGCAGGGGCTACTTCCACTGCCTCCCCCAGCACTTCAGCAGGAAGCTGGATTGGAAGCAGAGCATCTGGGACTTGAACTGACACTCCAATACAGGATGTTGGCATTGCAAGCAGTGGCTTGGCCTGCTGTGCCACAATGACACTTGTGTGAGATACTTCATTGACTACTTGGTTACTATGAGGTACAGCTTAAACAGGAAAAGTAGGGCAGTTATTTTATTTCTTTTCCCCAGAAATCAGTTTTCAAAATAAAACATTGGGTCTGCTGCATTCCTCAAAAGTTGGGACTCCTACTGAATTTGACTTATTATTTAAAATGCCTGGATTTAAATTTATCTGATATCTGATGTGTTTCAATCCATAACTGTTACTTCTCTTTTTCTTGTTGATCTTCTAATCATCTCCTTTTTAGCCAGTACAAGCCTCCTTACGCTGACTCCTTATACTGTTAATACAAACCCAGTAGCTTCTAATTGTTTCTTTTATTTCTGGGTTGAGAAGAAGCTCTTAGATAATTTTGCATTTTTTCCTGGAAAAAATTTTAGTTGGAATCAGCCACCACTAAAAGAAGTTCTGGTTCATTTTGTGGTAAACAGCATGTAGAAATCAAGATGGGGCACTTAGAAATAACAGGTTTTTCCTACAAATACACAGAGAAATGAGGAGAGAGGGAAAGTGGGGGAAAAAGGGAGGTGGGGGAGAGGTTGCAGAATCTACAAATGAACAGCCCTAATAAGGGACCAAACTAACAATGAAATTATGATGAGAGGACAAACAGAAAAATGGTCATATATTTGATGATACTAAGGAATAATTACATTTTTAAGATTTGTATTATTTTCATGATTTAAAATGTCCTTTTGTTTA